ATTAATACTTTTCTTTTCATAAAAATTACAGCAACCCAGGACTCAAAACTCTGAATTCAGGGAAAATCCAAAACAAAAACCCAGGTTGCAACCTCCCAAGTTGCTGAATTTTCAAGCCAGTCTTAACACCAACTTTATTCTAGAGAGGTATAACACAAAGCAATCATCACACAAGCACCAGCTATCAGTGATCAATGCCTATATGGAAACAGACAAGCCTGATCTGAGAGGAAGATAAGGGAAAGTTTTGTCCAAAGCCTTCCAACATGTGGGGGCCTTCACTTGTGGGAGAAATTTCACAATTATGAGGGTGTGTGTAAGCACCCAACCATATGTTGATGACAGGAAATTTCAATTAAATCTGATCCCTGTGATCAACGTCAGATTTATTATTCATAAGGAACCATAATTGATAATCAGGAAAAATAATTTATTTTGTTTATTAAAAGTTTCATTTCTGCATGGTCTTGTTATTATTTATTACTTGGGTGATGCAATTGTTTGTTATGTCAATGATGATATCAAATTTATTGCATAATCGTTGTGATGGATGTGGCGAGGACAAATTAATTCACATCTGAGAAAGTATTAAATAACAACAAAAAGCTAAGTTATGTTTATTGTTTATCTAAACAAAATATATATTTAAAAAATAATTATTTGTTCCACTCTTGCAATGAATAATATTATTCTGAAATCATTTTTTATTTAGAATTAATGATTGAATCAACACACACAAGTGGTAGTCAATTTATTAAAAAGTTTTATATTATTTTAAATGCGTAAAATTTTTTTTAAAAGATGTTTTTATAATTCTTAATATTGTGAGATCAAAATCCGCGTCTCACACAAATCTTATGATTTGATTAAAATACTATTTATTTATACTAAGTCGTAATAACAATTTCCGCGAATCTATATTTATGCTTTACTCTCAAAACTATCTTTTACTATCATTAAACAATTTCTTATACTAAGAAACACTAAACAATATCTTTAGATTTTACACTATGTATCCTGATCACGTTTCTTGATGTGTGCCTTTCTAGCCGTTTTCCAAGTCAGGTACGTCTCCAAAACTACTAAATAAGGTTTATTAATATTACCTCACTAAAAGAAAAGAAAAGAAATAAAAAATAACTAAGAAAATTTTGTTTAAAATCCGTTGTGGCAAGATTACTAATTATAATAATAATAATTATTATTATGACAAAAATTTAATTATAGTGTTTGACTGTACCTGGACTATTTTTTGATTTACCTAATCCGGGTTGGTACTACTTAAAAGAAAAGATAAACAGTTGTAGCCGTGAGTTATAGTTCGACAATATGTTTGCACTTTTAATTATATTATAAGTGGTAATTTTCGAAATGGGATCCTTTTGTTTTAATGAGATTCTTATTACTACTATATTTAATGGTCGCAGGAGAATGAACAAATGGCGTAAAAAAAAATATACAAAAAATTATTTTTCGTTGATTCCATTCCATTTATTTATTCGTTTGAGAGAACATTTTATTTGATATTGATACGCTGTTTACAATTTTAATTAATACCTATTCATTTATTTTACATCCATCCATGCACTCCCAATATTGTTTCAGGTAGTGCAGAGGAAGAATATGAAGAAAGTAGGTATATTCTCTCACAAGATTCAATTAATTTCGTTTCTTCATTTTTTTTGCTTATGCTGTGTCATATTTGCCAATAATATCAAGTACCTTTCTAAATCACTTTTCTTCTTGTCTTTCTTGTTAATTATCATTCATTCAGAATTATTCTTTGGGTTGCCTTCTTTGTATTATAAAATATATAGTACCCAAACAAACAAAACGATTAAGGGAAGAAGAGACAGTAAGTCCAGTGAAAAGATTTCACACACGAGATTTCAGAATCTCTGGTCCCCTGTCACAGAGAATGGTTTTCATGTTTTTGTGCACAAATTAAGCATGCCAGACCTATAGTTCATGCTGTTTCAATGTTTCGAAACAAAGTTTTAACAGCAGCAGAAGTACAGGTCAAAGAAAATTGTTGCTGAATACACTTTCTAATTTGAACTATTTTCAACATTATAACACATTTTGCAAGCAGTTTGTCAACAATATATGAATAATGGCGTACAAATTATCAATAAAGAATTTCTTATCTTCTCAGAAGCAAAAGAGAAGGACAAAATGGAAAACAGAAATTTGGACATTCTTATTCAAAATGGTCACAAGATTCTGATGAAATTGAAGGTCGAGGCAACTGATTACGATTCACTTGTTCAAGGAGTCAACCAGGCCAAGGTTGGGTGACGAAAATATTTTGGAGTGTAAAAAGTATTTCGTCAAATGGTGCACATGTGACAAAAAGTGACGAAGGGTAAAGTCAAAAGTCAAAATTATGATAAAGATAACAAAAGTATAAGATTCTATCTTATTTTAGATTTAATTAAAACAAAAATTTTAATTTTAAACATTTTTCCTACATCGTAAATCATGTTTCTTAGTTGCAGGTAATGAACGAATGGGTTTTAAGATCAAGTTGATTTCCAAATTTAGTAAAATCCCCAACTGTACTGCGCGATATTAATATTAAAAAAATGTCCAAATTATTCAAACACTTGGAAAAATTTAATCGTCTATTTGATAATGCTTTTGATTATCAAAGAGATGGTTTACCATTAAGATATGTCAACAATGTTATCAATGATTTTGCAAAATTGTTAAATGAACCTAATTTTCATGATGTGGAAATTAAAATAGGAGAAGACCAGGATATTAAAACTTTTAAAGCCCATTCTATAATTTTAAGATCAAGGTCTTTGTATTTCAAAGCAGCCTTATCAACTGTTTGGGTGAAAAGATCTGTTGATGGTATTATTTTACTTGAAAATGATAACATTTCGCCAAAAATATTTGAAATTCTTTTAACGTAAGTTTTATTAAATCAATTATTTCATGACTATTATTGTTATTATTGTTATTCATTTACATGTAATAATATATATTGTGGTTAAAAAGATATATTTATAGTGGAATCATTGATATATTTCATTTGAATCCAAATGAAATTTTAGAACTTCTTAAAGCCTGTGATGAATTATGCTTCGATGAATTAATTAGTGACTTAGAAATCCATTTAATTAATAATAATACGAAATGGTTTCGAGAAAATTTAGTTTATCTCCATAACATCTCTTCAAAGTATCAATCATTCAATAAAATCAATAATTATTGCAAAGAAGTGATTGACGACTATCCAGAATTATTACTATCAAGTCCAGATGAGATTGCAGAAATTGAAAAACCTACTCTTATATCTTTATTGAAGAGAAATGATTTACCATTGAAAGAGATTGATATTTTGGATTGTGTGATTCAATGGGGAATTGGACAAAATAAAGATTTGGTTGGAAAAGATATTTCAGAATGGAATGACAATGATGTTATAAACTTGAAAAATATGTTGCATGATATTATTCCATTAATAAGGTTCAAGAACATTTATCCAAATGATTTTTATGGTAAAATTACACCTTACAAAGAAGCTTTCAACAAAGAAATATACGAAGAACTTGTTAAATATTATGGTGATGATGGTGATGATGTGAAAGCCGATAGTAAAGAATCACAATTAAGTTGGATAAATCAAAATGATCCAAGAACAGGGCAACTAAAATTATTATACTTGGAAATTAAATATTTAATTGCAAGCTGGATTGAATTTGAAGACGATATTCTTGAAATAGATCAATTGGATTATGATTTTAAATTAATTTATTCTGCAACTCGGGATGGATTTAAAAAATTTGATTTTCTGAAAAGGTGCTATAATGTTGGAAGAACAGTAGTTCTTATGAAGATTAAAGAAACTGGAGAATTAATCGGTGGATTTAATTCAGCTTGTTGGAGTAATCCAGAAAGATGTTCTTCTGATAATTATTTTATTAATGCAGATGAAAGTTTTGTTTTTAAGATTGATAAAAATCAATTAAATAATTCAATATTAGGTAGAGTTAAGGAATATGAATTTGCATTACGTTATGATGGTGAATTTGATGGTTTTATAGAGGATGATATAGAACTTCATGAAATTATTATAAATTTCTTCGATTTAACAGTATTTAGAAGCTTTGATGGTGATTTTTATTGCCACTATAAGAATACCGGTCATTACGATTATGATGGTAAACCGAATCTTGTATATAAAAATAACGATTCAATAATTCTTATAGAGGAATTTCAAGTGTATAAATTAAGTAAAAAAAGTAATTATAAAATATAAATAAATAATTCATAAATTGATGAATGATCTTCAAAACAGCTCAATCTCCCTTTTAAAAATTATTTATTCACTTCATCTAATATTCAATAACTTTAAAAATGGCGATGGCAGCTTCTGTAAAAAACCGGAATGTAATACCCAATGGTTTTTTTTAAAAATATGCTTTGAGCTTTTTTCCATGAAGAATTTAAAACTGACATTTCAACAATTTATATAGGCCCGGTTACCACCTGAAGTAAATCGTGTATTATTTGTCAGAAATCTTCCATTTAATATTACTTCAGAAGAAATGTATGATATTTTTGGAAAATATGGAGCCATAAGACAAATTCGATTGTGAGTAGTAGTAAATAATGGAAATTATATATAGCATGTCTCATTTCATAGGCAGATATGTAATAATATGATTTAAATTTAAAATTTAATTTCGTTGATTTTTAAAAAATTTAGAGGTTGTGAAAAAGATACACGCGGTACAGCATTTGTTGTATATGAAGGTACTCATTCTAGTTTAGAAATTTTTGTTTTTATTTTACAATAAGTAATAAATTAAATTTTTGTTTTTTTTAATAAAAGATATATTTGATGCCAAAGCTGCATGTGATCATCTTAATGGATTTAATGTTATGGGAAGATACCTGATAGTACTGTACTATCAACCTAACAAAGTTACTAAAAAGATGAATTTACAGAAAAAGGAAGAAGAGTTGAAAGAATTAAAAAGGTAATTTTTAAAGAGAAATTAGGTATTCTTTTTATTCTATTTTCTAATATCTAATTCTTTTTTAATAGTCGTTACGGTGTTTCAGAGAATGATTAAATTGGGGAAAACCAGAGTTGAATATTATTATTAAAAAAAAATTTTCCTTGGATCCTTGGATTTTCATTTGATCAAATAATCCAAATCTTATTACTTGGTCTAATGGACAATTTTCAACAATAACCTGAGTATTTAGTTATTAATGTTATTTGCAAATAAATATACATGTGCGTTTATTTCTAATTTTTTTATATTAACTTGCTATTATTGCACGGTTATCAATTATTACCAATCATCACATCCTTCACTATGGGTTATAACAATTAATTTTTGTCGAAAATGACATGATTCCAATGATCGTCTCAAGTTTTATGAATTACTTTTTAGAGTTTACAAGTTGAAGAGGATGTAAATTTTAATAGTTGCTGATATAATCGGCATTTAGATGAATTGCTGTAGTAATTATTGAAGAAGGATCATATCCATTTAATCAACATATTTTTAAAATTGATTTAATCATCTTTGTCCTTTATAAAGCACATAATAATGATCATTATGATATCTTTTACCAAACAAAAGATTATTCAAAGAAGCATGGCAATCTTTATTATCTTTATAGCAGCTGGTCGTTTGCATCCATGCATCTGGAGCGTTGTTAGAAAATCCAGATTTTACTCTCTACAAATAGCTTTAAATCATGCACAACATTGTTGAAGGGCTGGCATTAATATTCCAAAACAGTACATGTCGAATGTAATTGTGTGCATTCCCAACTCTTAAAACTTCAGTTGTTACATATTATAGTATTCCAAAATATATCATTTTTATATTTAATCAGCAGATAGAATTCCAAAATAAATACTTTGAATAAATTATTCTTGAAAAATATTATCACTATGAATATCATAATGAATGTATAAATCCCTTTTAAACAATCGATAAAGTAATTATATTTTATTTTTACATCTTAAAACTTTTGTCAAATAATTCTGAAACTTACATTTTCTTCATGTCGCATTACAAAAATATAAGCTTTTGTGTTTGGATCTTGTGTTAATCCATAAATAAGAATTATATGACATAATTTGATATATTTGGTTAACTAATAAAAATTATATATATATATAGTTAATATTAATAATTAATAATAATAAAGAAAAAAAAAATGTATAAATTACCTCATTTATAAAATCTTCTGAAATATTTTGGGAATTATGTATTTTTTTTAAAGTAACAACCATATCTCTACTACACCTTTTATTTGTTCTAACATCTAAATATTTATCACCTTTTATCCAATTAGCTTTGTATACAGTCGAAAAAACACCTTCACCTATTCTTCTAATATCTTTTAAATTATCATATGGAATCCATCGAAGATGATGGCCATTATATTCTTCCGTTTGAAGTTGTGTCCCTTTAATTATCTCATCTATTGTTTTATTACCACTGGTCCACCCTTGCGTTAATAGTTGTGGATCGCATAATTTACACCACGAGTAATTAGTATTATACTTATTGCAAGTTGAACAATTACCATATCTTTTATTACTGTCATTTAAATATTCTTCTTTTGAAGTTTTTTTATTATTTAACGCTTTTTTTATTTTTTCCATTTTTTTTTTTTTTTAATTGTATTATAGTATATAAATAAATTTATTAAAGGAAAAAAAATTGCCTTTTCAAAATCAAATATTGACATTTTCAAGTTACATCAATTATTGTTTTGTTTGGGAATAATTTATATTTCTAGAAGTTTTCTATTTCTAATATAATACATAACACATAATAAAATAATAATGGACATTATAATACATAATTTTTTTTTCTTTTTCTTCAAGTGAGAAAAAAAATTATTTTTAAAAATATAAAAATATATATAATCGACATAATAACAATGCCACGAAGAACTTCTGTCCCATTGCCAACCGTCCCGTTATCAGCCCCTTCAACTACAGCACCTTCACAATTATTAGCACGGCGGCGACGACCATTACGAACTCGATCAATGACACAACAATATCCAACATATGTACTGAATAATCCACAATTATTTCCAACAACAACTCCCTCAAATAACATTAATTTCCAACAACAACAACAGCGGCAACAGCTTCAACAAGAAATACCCTCAAAATCATTTTTGTCCTTTCCGGATCTATCCATAAGATTACCATTTCAACAACAAATAAAACCTCAAGAATTCGTTTACTCTTGGTCAATACGAGGCTTTCAGGATTTGGTCAAATTAATGCCCAACAACACTTTTTTATACAGCGACAGAATTAAATCACCTAGAGGCATAAATGATACAAGTTGTTTAAACCCACCACCACCACCACAACAACATCAACAACAAAATTTAAATCCAATGTTATCATCAAATCTTACAACGGAGCCATCGTCAATGATAACGACGGCTGATGAAGATTCTGATTATGCTTGGCGAATGAGAATTTATCCAAATGGAATACATGATCATCCAAATCTTGTATCGTTATACTTGGAAGCAATTCAAACACCTTTTGAAAAAAATAATTGTTGCATCGAAAGAAATAACATCGAATTCAAATTTTTAGTTTATCGCATAAAAAACCCTTCAAACGATTCATCGTCGCCATCATCATCGTTTTCATCGACAGCAACGACAACATCAATTGATTCTTCGAAGGATTCTTTATCCTTGGTGTATGAAACTAACACGCAAAAATTTGATTTTGATTTACAAGGTGCACGTGTTATCAATGGGTTCCCTTCAATTGGAACATTTCAGAGTTTGTTTTCCTCTCCATTGGATCTCTGGTTAAATAACAGTAGTAATGTTAATGGTAATAGTAATATCATCGACAATTTTAATATTAATAATTTTTATAATAATGATAATATTACCACCAATAATAATCATAGGAGGAGTAGTAGTAACGATAGCGTTAATCTAAATAATGTTCAAGGAGAAGAAATTAATTTATTAGTAAAACTTCATATTTATACATACACTAAATCACAGTTTCAAGATTATTATAAAGGATTCAATAATGAACAATCTTTAACTACGTTCGAGAGATTTTACAATCATGACGCTTATTTTGATGTGGAATTTACATTTGAAGAGGAAAATTATAATAATGCTAATACAAAAAATTCTATAAAAGCTCATCGTATAATACTTTCACAACGATCAGAATATTTTGACAAATTATTTAATGATAATAATAGTAATAATAGTGGTGGTGATGGTGGTGGTGGATGTAGTTTGAAGATGCCAATAAAGCATGTAAAATATGAAACGTTTAATGCAATAGTTTATTATTTATATTCTTTGAAATTAAAGGATAATTTATCATTTGATCTGCTAAAAGATATTTACATCAATTCTGGGATAATGGGATTAGAAAATTTGTGTAAATTAGCAGCTGATCAATTGGTAAATTTGATAAATTATGATAATTGGGATCAAGTATTAAAAGTTGCTTGGGATTCAGATATTTTGTCTAGTAAATTACAATTAAAGAAATCAGCTTTAGATTTTGTACATGGTAATTGGTCAATTATAAGAAATACTGAAAATATGAAACAATTATTAGCTTCTGCAACTATAGAATGTATAGAAGAACTAATGGAAACCAAAATATTTGGTACTCCAAAATGATTTTTTATTGCTTTTAGAAAAAAACATTTAATTTATTATTTATTTATTTAAAGATAATTTTGTATTATTTATTATCTATCTATATATATGTAAAAAATGAAATTGTATTTTATTTTTTTTAAAGAAAAATTGTAAATTAAAGAAAAAAATCCTTTTTCCACCAATAAAGTTATATAATAGAATGATCATATCATTATCATTATCATTATCTAATTTCAATGTTCAGGATCTTTATATCTTCATATGGTTTATCCATCTTGTCAGTTTTAATATTTTCTATGGTGTGAATAACATCCATACCAGCAGTTGCACGTCCAAATATTGTATGTTTATTATTAAGCCAAGGCTTATTTTCCCCATAAAAAAAAAAGTTATTAGCTTTCTACAAATCGAATTTTCTAATACAAGAAAACTAATATTATTACTTACTGTAGGAACAATTGTGATGAAAAATTGTGAACCATTAGTATTTGGTCCTGCATTGGCCATACTAACAGTATACGGACAATCATGTTTAAGATCATGATGAAATTCGTCTTCAAAATCTGTTCCCCATATTGATTCTCCTCCAGTACCATCACCTTTTTTTTTAAAAAAAATAATCAATTATTAATTAAATTTATAAATATAAATTTAATATACACAATCAAGAATATATATAATTAAATCATACCTAATGGATCACCAGTTTGAATCATAAATCCTTTAATTATACGATGAAAAATTACATTGTTATAGTAACCATTTTTCGAATGTGTAACAAAATTCTCAACAGCCTTTGGTGCATAGTCCGGGAACAGTCTGATATGAATGTCACCGGCCGTTGTACGTATTATGGCCGTGTGTCCCAATTTTTGTTTTGTGGGCGTTGCAGTAGCTACAGTTTGTTCTTCACGTGATGGCTTCTCATTATAAACATCTCGATCACCTTTATGTGAATCTTGACTATTTAGATATATAAAAATGAATATAGATGTGTGTAAATATATTTTGCATAATGAATCATCTTTCTTTTTAATTTTTGAAAAAAAAAAAAATCTATTACTAACGCATCAGGTTCTCGAGTTGTAAACATAAAAAATCGATTTCGTTTATATGCCGTACAAAATAATGTGGGGTCTGTTACCTCACTTTCTTTCATTAAAGGATTGTCAGATGCAGCCAATGCCTAAATAAAAGACTAATTAATTGGAATTATATGAGACAGTTTTTATTTATTTTTTAAAAAATGGGATGATTTCTAGCAAGATGTGGTTAGGAACATAATAAATTTTTTTTAGAGTAATAGTCCCTGCAAAATTATGTTATTTGATATTCATATTAAATTTCAAAGTCTTATGTCTCATTATTATGCTAAGCAGACATGGTCTGATTTTCTCACAAGTTATAATATAGATATATTATGCAAAAAAACTCAATTTTGGTCAGAGAGGTTCCTAACCACATATTCCTAGAAATCTCCCAAATGCCAACTTACCAAAGTAATCAAAGATTTTTTCTTTGGTGCTCCTTGATACAATCCAATATTTAAAAATCGATGTGATTCTGTCTTACCAATTAACCTTACCACTTTATTTGTACTTAAATTAACAACTTGAAAAAAAAAAAATGAAAAATTAATATTGGTATTGATATAAATATTAAGAATAATTTCATCACGTTTATTTTGTTGAAACATACCTTTAATTCCCAGCATTGTAGGATAAATTATAAAATTACCACTTTCATCAAACACTTGTCCCGCCAAAAAAAATATTTTTATTAACATCTTAATTTTAAAAATAAATTTCTTATTGAAATTTGAAAATGCTCAAATCAATTATTATTACCTGCGTTCATAGTACTTGCTTGTAAAGTTTTTTCTAATTCGCGTTCAACAGCCAACCGTCGACCGAACTCCATGTCATCTAATTTATAAATAGTTGTTCCAGCCTATGAGACGTCATCTTTGACTGTTTAGATAATCATTTAAAAGATATAATATATATTTATATACATTTTTTACATAAAATCTACACAAACCTGTTGCATTTCACTTATAACAGACAACGATTCATCATATTTTCTTGTCATCTTCCCTGTTTTAAATTTAAAGACTCTAATTTGATGATCTCCAATGCTCATAGTAACAAATTGTTCATGGTCTTGGGAAAATGACAAAGATGTTGGCATTGTTTTAGCCTTTAGAGAACAGAAAAAAATGTTTAAAAAAGGAAGTTTTTTTTAAAACAAAATAAAAACTATAATTTGGTAAAGGTTACCTTTTTGAATTCATAAAGATCTGTATCAGATTTATATTCAAATGAAATTGATTTTGGTAATTCAAATGGTTCTTCCGGTTCCCAATATTCCATCATCCCAGATGTATCTACTGATACAACACAATGGTAGAGTTCATTATACTATAAAAACATTAAAAAAAAAATCAACCTTAATTTATACAAAAAAATTTTTCTTAAAAACAATCACATTAATATTACATACTGCCATCACATGAACAGGGCTTGAATGCATTGTTAAAATACGATGTAATGGTTGACCATCTCCTCGACCATCATAAATATAAATATTCCCGGAATCATGATCAGAACTATCAAAAAGAAATTTGATTTAAATATTAATTCAATATTAAAAGAAAACCATATTCCCATTTAAATTAATATTGTGAACTAATTATTCACCATGCGACTAAAGGTTGTGCTTGACCACTTCTATGAATCCAACAAACACTATTTGGTACATAATTTAATTTTATCATGTTGATCATGTCTAAAAAATAAAGATTTATATTTATTTGATTTTATCATAAAATTCAAAAAATTCAAATAATTTTAAAAAAAAAACATACCAAAATTAACTATATCATACACTTTTAATGACTTGTCAATCCCAATTGAAGCAAATAATAATCCATCGGCTGATACAGATATACCAGAAATGTTTCCTAAAAATCAAAAAGTTATAAAGTATTTATTAACATGAAAAAAAAACTATTATTGTTGTTATTATTATTATTATTATTATTATTATTTACCTAAATGTGACCGGAAATGTTTAACAAATTCAATTCCTTTGCCACTTTTCTTCCAAAATTTCAAATGCCCATCAACAGATGTAGTTATTATAAATTCAGTCCTATATAATAAATATTATATATATGTACACACACACACATATATATATCAATAATCAAATAACTATGAAAAAAAGAATGAAAAAGCTTTTTACTTTGTAACCATTACATAGCCTAAAACATCACGATGCATATAGCTTCGTTCGTACATATCAGAAGAAGGTAAATGATCCAAATACAATTTTTCATGAATTAAAACTAAAAATAAAATCATTATATTATTATTATTATTAAATAATTGGATAAATGGATGATGGTTTTCCAAAAGAGGGATATATTTTAGTTGACTTACCTCGTTTCTTCTTTTTCGGTAAATTTTCTGCTGTTGGTAAAACTGGACCTATATCAGTATCTAGAGTAAAAAGTAAAGGTTATATATAATATTTAATTAGTTGTTTCAAAACCAGGGAAGATTTTTTACTTTTTGTATTAGGTTTTTTTTTAAAATACCAGAAACTTGATCAACATTTTCCTCTTCATCTTCTTTTACACGTTTTCCAGACATTTTTTATTTTGAAGATTAATCTTTTGACCTGTGACCACGTGAATTTTAATGTTTAACATCGTGTAACATCTAGCAATTTTTTTTTTAAAAAAAAGCAAAATGGGGCGTGTTATCCATTTCAAATCTCATACTAGACTTCGTAAAGGTGCCGCTAAGTTAAGATCATTAGATTATGCTGAACGTAATGAATACATTTAGAGGTATAGTCAAAGTAATTCAGGTCGTGGCGCACCTTTAGCAAAAGTTTAATTCTGTGATACGCATCATTATGTAAAATAAATTAGATAATAGATTTAGCAATATCGTTGAAAATGAAATAGGGATTTTTTTGCAGGTATAAGTTTCGATTACAAACGTTTATTGCAACTGAAGGTTTACACACAGTACAATTTATATATTGTGGTAAAAAGGCAGCTTTAACAACAGTTGGCAACATATTACCATTAAATGCGATGCTGGAAGGTACGATTATCTGTAATGTTGAGGAAAAAAATTGGAGATCATGGTTCATTGGCCAGAACATCAGGAAATTATGCAACAATTATTGGTCATAACCATGACGAAGGCAAAGTTGCCATCAGGAGCAAAAAAAGTAGTGAGTTCATCTGCTCGCGGAACTGTTGGCATTGTGGACGTGTTGACAAAACTATGCTTAAAGCAGGCCGTGCCTATCATAGATATAGAGTTAAAAGAAATAGTTGGCCTAAACTCGTGGTGTTGCTATGAATCTCGTAGATCATCCTCATGGTGATGGTAATCATCAACATATTAGTAATGCTTCTAATGTTTCTAGGGAAGTGTTCCTAGTCAAAAGGTAATATTAATAATAATAACAATTATGTTTATTTTCTTCTTCAAAGAGTGATAATTTATTAATTAATTATATATATTTTTTTAGGTTGGTTTGATTGCTGCCAGAAAAAGTGGCACAAATAGGGTCAAAAATGCTTAACATGTTTATTGATTATATTGATTATTATATTTATGTTTTATTATAAAAATTAAGTTGTTATATTTTTAAAAATAATATAATAAAAGAAAAATTTAATATTTTGTGTAGTAAGCATACAAATAAAAAATAATAATATCACACACATATTTAGATTCAACATTTTTTATTTAAACTGTCGAAAAGCCTTCGAGATCGTAATTCTAAACGAAAGGAAAGCGATCCTCTGATTCAAATTACTCGTCCGTCGTTCACTAAAACCAAACTTAAAAAAAAGATTTATTGACAATTTCCTCAGATAAAAATAAATTTATCATTATCATCATCATCATCATCATTATTAGCTGAAATATCATTATATAAAAATTCATATATGATAAAGAATACTAGATACTGAAACTGAACAATTAGTTAGATATGGCAAGATTTAAAGATGTGTTGTATGTTAGATATATTTTGGAAGGTGAGCATCACATTAATTTTTTTTTACATTCACTGCAACTTGAGATCACCTTTGTCAGGGTATCAACGTAATAATGGTGCTTGTCTTCTTTAATGTAAATGTTTGATTTCTAAAAATTTTTAGGGCAACAAAAAGAAATGATAATGCTAATAATACCCAACGATTACTATGCTGTTGGGGTGTCGGTGATTAAATAAATTTTTTTGATTATATCTTTTCTCACATGGCGTCATTTTGCTTTTTTTTTTTTGGAGTTTTGAAATGATTTTGAAGTTTTAAAATAGTTTTGGAGTTTAAAAACAATTTCAGAGTTTCGAAATAGTTTTATTTGAATAAAGTTCAATCATTTGATGTAATTGAATACTAAATCAATTATTATGAATAATAGTTGGATAGTTGGAATAATTTGAAACTTTAATTAAAAAATTCTCGTTTTTTGTTTATTTTAATAAGTTACACAAACTTTAAAAAAAATGTATATATATAGTAAAAAGATATGTTCCAGACGCAAAATAAAAAAATATTATAGTACTACCATTTTTTATACAAAGTCGTCAATTAGTAAAGTGGCTATTTAGAGTTTACTTATTCATAGGCGGATCGTCAATTAAGTTTTTTTTTGGGAATATATTAATATTAATATAATAGGAAATTTACAACAATAACTTCTTGGCGCGTTGTGATGACAGACAATATTGGGGCAAGAACAATAGAAAATTGAGAAAAGATCTGCATTATATTATTTTAATCTCCGAAATTTTATTAAGTTGGCATGGTTACTAAGCTTAAAGTTAATTTTTGTGATGAATTGTAATTATCCTTGTTTCTATCACCGATGTCTTGTTTACTATGTTTTAAAAAAAACATTTATTAACAGAAAATTTCTCAAAATTTTATTAAGTGGGCATAGTTTCTAAAATTGTTCCTTACATATATATGTGATGATTTTTGACGTTGACACCCTTTCTATTGTCCATGCCTCTTATAGTAGTAATGTTGCATGAAGCGAACGGCTTTTGACCATTTTGTCCATCTTGTAAGCGATTAATATTAAATAGATGATCAAACGTCGCACGGTCCACAAGATTAATAATCTACTCGAATTAGATCAATCAATAAAAAAAAAAAGACCAAACAAAGGAAGATAATAATAAACAATTTCAATGTTTTAGAACAATCCGCTAATTATTATTATAAATGAATGAATAAAAGAAAAGTAATGAATCCAAAATTAGAACTTCCTTATTATCATTGAACAGGTTTTGATAAAAAAAAATATCTTGTTCATATTATAACAAGTTTATGATTTTTTTTATCTTTATTAAATCTAAATAACATATAAATGGCAAAATGATATGAGATTGTATTTTATTTTCTTTAAAAATTTTTTTAAAAAATGTCAGTTTTAAAAATTTTCATTGTTTTATTATTTGTCGTTGCATATGGAATTTTGTTAATTAGTTTTGCGTTTGTTCCTGATAAAAAAATTCCCCAAGCCGAGAGTCCAGTCACTCATTTTCCAACATGGCATCCTCCCTTCGATGGTAACTATATCGATTAATATTCAGAAATTATCGTTAATTTATTATTGGAATTAATTGGAATTATCGTAATATTATAGCACTTTATGGGGACAGAATGAGATCAATAGGTTTGCTTGGAATTGTAATTACATTGCTTACTTCAATCGTTACATACAAAAACGCATATTTTACACATCCAGCCAACAAAAAAGTCCAAACATATTTTTGCTCGACCAGCAATACCGATGGCGTCAGCAGCAGCGTTCTTACATCAACACAATACTTTAATAAAAACTTTGCGCATTATAATTTGGGCACATTTTCATCAATTATAGCCTATTATATCATTGATCCCTCCAAACTATTTACAACATTTGCAGTGATGCACAACTTTTTTGAACTTACACTATTAGTTTCATTTTTGTCAGGTGGACAACTCAGAACCACAAAACAATTTTTGTGGTTATTGACATATTTTATGTCAATAGCTTCGATTGTTATTTATGTTAAATGGCCTTACGATGCTTTATTTTTCAAATTTCAAGGTAAAATAAACACTCTTTGATTGATTAAAAGTTAAATCAAAAAAATTTAAATTCCAAAATTATTCTTCTTTTTAGGATTGATACTTGATTATGCACTTGTGGTACATTTTGTTAGGACGTACCTGACCACAAAATATTATGTAAATAATTATGATCAACGACATTTGGATGAAGAGGATGAAATCGAAGGATTGTCAGCATCGTCGCCAAATGTAGGCGCATTTTACCTAGTCTCTTATCCTGAACAATTACTACTTTTAATAGCTGGCTCAATTATACATCTTATTGCAAATATATTTAACGTCGTTTTTCTATTGGACTTTTTTGCGTAAGCAATCATCAACCAATTAATTATTGATATTATTATTATTATTAATTTTATAATAATTATTCTCTAACTTTTCTAATCTTTCCGAACTTTTATAGAAACTATTTTGTTACAGTCTCATATTGCATCACATTTTCATTATATGCACTTTATGTTTTTATGGATGTAAATTCAGTGAGTGTTGCTAATTCTAGAAAATATATTTATTTGCCAGAAGTAACAAAATGGTCCATTTTTGTTATTGGCGCCTCATGTACTTTCCTCTCTATGTTAACAATGAGAATTGGAATAGCAAGAGGATGAGACGAGTAAATTGTATTTTTTATATATTTTTTTTTGTAATTATAATCGATATTCTAACATTCACTACTTTTGAAATTAAAAAAATTTGATAAAAAATTAATTTGTTCTCGTGGTCAAGAATTTAATATTATTATAATAACATTGCCAATTAAATTTTGTTGTCCTAGAAAAACTAGAACAATACTTCTTTTTTTTGTTTTCGTATTCCTTAACATATTAATATTATAAATACTTAATTCAACCCATTGTCTAATTTTCACCTTCCTGACCTTGCTGCAACGTACTTTAACAGATCATTGGAACCTTAAAAATATTAAATATATTGAAAAAAGTAAATCCAATGCATTTTCAGATCGAGAATACATTTTTTCCTTGTTTCATTTAAAATATTTGATTTCAAATTCAGTCAAAACTTCCCCTTATCCATTCTCACCATCTTCATCCCTTGATTTCGGGCTTTAAATAATCAATCACCTGGGACACAACAATACAATTAAGAATTTATGAAAAATGAAATGTAGTATTGTTCGTTTTACATTTTTTAACATTTATATTGGTGTGATTCTGAATTGAAGAAATTTATTTTCGAAATAAAAAAACAAAATAAAATAAATAATAAATATAAAAGATAATAAAAAATAATTAATTATCTACCCATCAACAATTCACCCAATTCTCCAACTCTAACTTATCAACTACTTAATCATATTTAAATTAATTAATTAACCAACTATTTAAATTTCATAATTTAATAAGCTATCATTACTTAAATTCAATTTAGCAAATTCGTCATTTAATATTCTACTTGTATGATATGCTAATGGATGTGATTTGTGTACTTGTTGTGAATCACCACCACCACTACTACTAATACTACTATTATCATGATTATTATTATTGATACTTTCATATAATAGATCATTAGCAAAATCCGAAAGCTCTTTAATAGGTGGTCTCTTGGCTGGATCTACATCCCAACACCTTTGCATCATTTGTGCATAATCACCAGGCGTTCCTGGTAATATTGGTGGTTGTAAACCTGCACATATATTAAGCACTAAATCACGATTATGAGCTCTATCATCAAATGGTGGATGTCCTGCAAATATTTCCCACATTAACATCCCAACACTATAAACATCTGACTC